TACCGAGTTAAGCATAAATTGCACTAGAAGATATTAGCGAACTAGCAATTACCTCAATAGAGCCTGGCATAGATATTTTAATGCGAAACTTGCCTCAATTTCCACGAGTTAATTGTCATAACAGGCATAAGTTTTCGCTGCATTTCTCTGCCAATAAAACTATCGAATTCGCTGCGTTATCGTTCCATAAGTATGCATAAATACGCTTTCTCGAGAGACATATTCTTGCATAAATCTGAGTGATCTTATCTAAGTAATTTAATGAAGTGTAGCTAATCTAAAATTATAATATAATATATTTTCCTTTTATATACATATGTATATGTTTATATTTACATATGTATGTATGTATATACAACTGTTAACAAAAGGATTAATTCGGAAAACATTCCTTTTTGCACTTACGATCTCGCACGTTCCGATTGTCGTTCGGGTTTCGCTTTTTGCATCATCGCAAACGAATTATACGGTTCTTTCGTGTTTCTTGTGAATGCAGTATTAAAATTAGATGTTTTTTTCGAGGAACAAGAAGCGACCGTGCGAATATAATATAATTCATGACAGCGGCAGCAATAAAACTCCAAAAATAATTTGGAGATATATAGTTTGAATAAATTTGAATTGTATAGAAAAGAAATTAATATCGCTAAGGCACAAGCATAATAATGCAATAATCAAGAAAAATAAATGAGAATGGTTATTGACTTCTCAATAACATCATGCTGATATTTTTATTACTTTTCTTCGCTTTTAATTTACTATTAATTCTATTTTAAATAATTTAATACAATGAATTTATAATTAAGAAAGTAACCATAAAATTGCAAACAAACTAATCCGACAGGATAAAGAATATATTATTAAATTATAAATTATATTATTAAATTATATAAATTATATCGTAAATCTTTGTTTATCAATTCAGTAAAATTGGAAAACTGTTTAAACAACTTAATACTGTTGTTTTTATAACTTAATTGTTCAATTAGCATGACATGCGAGTATAAAATACATAGAAGTCAATAACTGTACGCATTATATAGCAAATTTAATAATATAAAATATTAATAAAAAATTAGATAATAGAGAGTATCAAAGAATCTCATTATAATTTTATGTATCCCCAACGTACGATTCAGTAATGATTGTAATCTGCGATATGGGTGATATTATTGTGAGAACTCGGCGCTCTTGAAATGTTCAAGTGTCGCTCTCGATGTTCGTTCTATACATATTCACAGAAAGATATTATTTGCAGATGTGAAGAAAAATATATTTATATATGTATACATATAAATGGTGCACTTATTCAGACATAGATATATCAGACAAGATATTCGGCAACAAGCGTATTTTGTGAATAAAACAGTATTTCTTATTGAAAAAATTGTAATAATCTTACTTGACGAAAGCGTCGACATAATCTTTTTAATTTAAGCAAGTAAAACGAAAGATCTGCGACCATCTCAATAAAGTGATATTCAGTTCATCACAAATATGCTTATTATCGAACATCCTCTATATGCCACGCGATCACGCGCGGTATTTTGCATTTTCTTTCTTTTTTTTCTTTTACGACATCGCGATGTCTCGATACCTCATTAGGCGGATACATTAAGTCCAGCCAACTGATGTACGATAATAGAGAATAAATTATTGTTGCGTCCTATTTATTTATAACGGAATTGATTTTATATATTTTTTGTTCAATTACCAAAAGAATCCCGAATCTGTCCCATTATTATAAAACGCAAATGTAATATAGCATTATTTATCCACGCTTGTAACATTACGCTATTTATTTGTATTATATCCATCAACGGATGTATCCTCAGCCACATATATAATTTTTGAAAGATTGCACTAAAAATGTCGCTATCCAGAAACGAAGGTGAGTATGTAAAGTGTATGTAAAGTGACACGTGAGAACAAAACACATGAACACAAAAATTTATGTCGTGCATCTCGTCACATTCTAACGCACTGGCACAATTTGATTTTTAAACTCTCTGTCTATTCAAGAAGATAATAGTGCAGTTAATACGTCATTAAATATTCCGTGTAAAGCCGACGAATTTCGAGTTATTGCAGATCGTTATCGCTATTATGTCAATTAGAATTATCCTATAATAATGTTGAAGAAAAAACTGTCGGCGAAATTGACAAAACGCAACGGAGCCGGGGCTAACGAGACGGTGACTCAACTTATCATATAAAGGCTTGTGTCGATGAGGAATTAGGACGGAGTCTCTATCTGCGCAGCTCGCTGCAATATATTCTGCATATGGTAAGTGTTATTTCGCAATATGTGTACACTAATCTGTAAACAAATCTCTACAATGAGGCTGCTGATTTGCTATTGAGAGATCAATCGTTCGTAGTATATTAAAAATATATTGAATAGCTTATCTTCGATCAAAGTATTTCGAATATTACGTTATTATGTACCGCTCTTAATCTCGCATTAAACCTATTTCCTTAAATTCTTAAAGACCCACTTGTCGAGTTTCACATATATTAAGCGATACATCTGATGGGAAATGAACAGTTATATTCAGGAATAATTCTTTCATTAGAATCAGTAATTATCAGAATCCTAATAGGTAAGTAGTTTTTCTATGCCAAGCGAGACGATGATCGCGTTTTCCTAATTTGTAACGGACAGTAATCACGTACTTTCTCAAGCTATTCGTGCTAGTTTCACCCGCAAATCATATCGCGATATACAATGAACGATAAGCTCCAAAAACGATTTCAAATACGAAGAACGATATGAAAATAAATATATTGATATTTGTACAAAGGAATAAGGAATACATGGAAATAACGGTTTTGCTGAAGTATCTCAAAATTTATAGGTGCAGATCTGAAAATAATTTTTTGGAATATTCAAATTTGTGTAGGATATATAAATTGAACGCAAAAATATATTTATTTTTTTACAGCATTATCATCACGCTTAAGCATTTTAAACAATTATTTTGCAAATCCAACAAAATTATTTGCAGATCTATACTTAATTTTTTCAGGTACTTGATCAAGATTATTCTTTCCATATCGCCCAGAGAACAGCATGTCCAAAATCAGGACGTCATTTAGGCATCTTTTAGACATTATCTTGACAGTCATCTTAAAAGCGTCCTTAAGATATCTTACGTTCTGATTTTGGACATGCGTGCTGTCTGAAAGATATAATAAATTCAGGATCCTTTTTTTCACACATCGTATTTAATTTAAAATGAAGAATTTATGAAATTAGAATTGCTTAAATAGATAACAAAATCAAGAAAAGAGTAGAGATCGCGTGGTGTACCTACTTTTAAGTGAAAGACGCCGATAGCTGCGAAAGTTTAAATATAGTTTATATATTAAAAAATATGCCGGTGCGTTTAGGTCGCCTCATCGAGCGCGACAGGCAGACGCTTGTATGCGTTTTATTTATCGACCTCTTCGGACGATCAGTGTTTAAAAAGCGTATACTCGGGCGAGCATACTCGAGCAAGTGCTCGGAGAGACCCAGTCGTATATGAGTCAAGGCTGCTGAGGGACCCTTACCTACTTTTTCCTTATATGGTACTGAAACGGACCGATGACTGTAACTGATGAGATATAACGGCTGATATTACGCAAAAAGCGTGCGTAACGATTTTGTCGACGATTATTCGTGCAAATTTTACGCGGATATTTGATTTATTGACACGAGTTCTCTGTTGCATCATCGCGGAAAACAACATTCGTCCCGGTAAGGCTGTACGACTCGATAACGTCATTCAATTTCGAGAAGAATCGAACCGACGATTGACCCTAGGTAGATGGAATTATTGACGAGATTATTTCGCGGAGAAGAAGAAAAACTCAGAACGCCATCCGGTGTCATAACGGATCGACCGTGACATGAGTTAACTCAAGGAGATCGGGTTAGCTATACGTTGACCCCGATGCCAAAATTACCAGTGCGTCCGATTCCAAATTCGCTTTCTTATTGAAAATAAAAATGTTGTTTTTTGACGATCTACATTAACCTTCTCCTCTCGCTATTGTACTCTCGCTCCATTTATAGACAAATTTTTAAACGATTGTTTTAAATGTCTCTCGCATGACCGCTATAATCTTCCCGAAATGAGTAACCTATGAGACAATTGATTATGTTTGACGACTGAAACAAATCTTGATGAATCAAGATAATAAATAGTAAAGATATGTTAATAAAGTGTATTAATAAGAAAGTAGAACAATTTATTCATTTATCCCATATTTATCCTGCTATTTTTTTCCCCAATAAAAAATCAATTTCTGTGTAAGTATGAATATAAATAAGGAATGTAATTTTATAATAAGATTCATCTTTTATTTGAAAAGAAACTTAAATGATTATTCATGTATAAATTGAAAATTAAAAGCTCGGTAAGTAATCATATTTTATAACTCTCATTAAGAACGATTCTCGAATTCGAAGCCAGCAGAAAAATACGATACTTTGAGATTCGCTGAAAGGGATAAGATAAAATGGAATAGCTCTGACTCAAATTTAATAATTTGATAATGCTGAGACAGCACGCGTATCAAAATCGAAAGATCGGTCTCGAGGTTACGATTTTATCTTGATTTTGAATATGCGTGTTAGGCATTTTTTTTTTTAATTTAAACTAGTCATCTCGATTGGACCGAAATTACTCCATTTTCTCGTTTCTTATATGCTAGCCTACTTTCCAATGGGTCTATGAGAATCATCGAAGAATATTTTCATCGCAGATGCGCATACATCATTTCAGGAATCGCGATGTGACTTTGACTTTGCTCGAGTTTCGCGGACGCTGGCAGCCGATCGAACCGCTCGAAGTCCAACTTTGAGCTTTTTTTTTCTATTCCGTGCTGTTTTCTGCGATGATACGAAGTGTTCCCCCATCGTTGAAATAGAGTATTCGGCACACACTCGCGTTCGCGCGTCTGCGATCTAAAGATAATCCGCGGGCGGCCGGTGTACGTTTCCAGAGATCCGGGGGGTACACGTCGGTGGCACACGGCGCGGCGGTGTGGTAGGGCAGCCTACGTCGTCCTCGACGATCTCGAGGAGCGTCGCGAGAAGGTGGGAGCCACGACGAAGCGAGCCCCGTCGCCCAGTCGTGACTTAGCCCGCAGATCGGACGCATCCCGGACGAACGGATACGAACGTGAGTACTTACGCGTGGAGTACCATGTGGTACCCTATGCGTATCAAGGCCGAAGAGAGCCGCGAGAGAAGCCGTCTTCTGGAGCGTGTCACTGACATCCGCGGGGACACCGCGGGTCGTCCTACATTCTCGGAAAGAAAAGAAGTCCCTCCTAGACGGGAAAAGAAAGAAGTGTGGTATTTGCGCGGTAAATAGTGGCGAGTGACGTTAAATGCCAGTAAATAGTCGCAAGGACCCCTATGTTTGCCGCGGCAAATTGCTTGATTTTCATGTTAATGTCACTTGCACGCACTCTCACACATCCAAGCTTCAGCGAATTCCAACCAACTTGAATAAATATGCTCGTGAAGGACGAGTCGTGCGATGGGGAGATATGGCTCGACTTTATACAGAGAGAATATTACTGATTCATCACGGAAAGAATTTCACGTACAGCGAAATTGGTTGCCTGTGAAAAACGGACGTGAAATCACAATAATCAGATCTCGATTTTAGTGCGCATAGAAAAAAATTACCTCAATTCGGTGGCTGTCAATTCAATGTGCGACTGTTATTCATTTTTAATACGTTTTCGAGAGAGAATTTTTTTTATAGTTGTTTGGATATACCAGTTTAATGGATAGTTAATGGATGATTATCCAATTATTGGACGAAATGATAAAAATTTTAATTATTCTATGACTTTAAATAAATTCGCCTTATGAAATTTTTATAAATAACAAATTTATTTAGAATTGAACATATCATTAAAAGCTTAATATTAAAAATTTTTAATATTTTGTCCAATAATAATTGAATCATGTCTGCTACTTGTACATTTATCTTATCAAATTATTTAATGTTAAATTGATGCTACTGTAAAAATTAATTTCAAACGATTATCGAACACTGTTTCCAAAATTATTCAAGACAGGAATAGTACTGCTAAGCAAATCTATAAGTAATAATCTGAAGCATTTTAAACTGAAAATATGATTTTAAACTGAAAATGAAATACAAGTTTTAAGATAAATTTAAAATAATAGAAAAGGAGATGAGAATCTCGTCAAAATCGAGTAAATTGCAAATTTAATTTTCTTTACAAAGACAAAAAATATAAAAATTGCAAATAATTTTTAGCAACGACACTTAATACATTGAAGATTTGTAACATTTTACGACGTCGTTGTTTGAAGAATGATATTGCCATTTTATGATCTATATGTCGATATAGATACCGCTTGGACATAAACGATTACGTTCAGGAAGATGACTTAATCATCAAATGAACAATGAATGACGTATGTGTCTATGCGCAAAAAAGTGAAGTAACTCAATTGTTGCATCGACGTCGAGTAGAATTATCTTCGTTCTTAGTTTGAAGTTGAGCGAGATTGCTATTGTACAATCGATAAATTTAAAGATATAAAAATATAGATTACAAGAATTAAAAAAAATTGTTGAGAAATAATCTCTATTTGTAGTCTTGCAATTTTATCTTTATTTCATGAAACAAAGTTATTTAAATATTAAAAGTGAAAGAATCGTTATAAAAAGAACGATTATTAAATCTCCGTGAGAGGATGTTTCAATTATTATAATTTATTATATTTAATAAAATAGCGTTATAATCTGACAGCTTCAATATTCGCCGAAAAAATGGAATTTTGCAGAAATGCACCACAATAACGGATCATCGTGAGCCGTGGCGGCCGCTACCTTCCGGAATGCAGTGACTCACAAGAATTTTTTTCGCGTTCGCGAGTAATCACTGTGACTACACAGTGCACAGACTTTTGATCTTTTCGTAATATGGAGACAAATTTCTTTGGCGCGTTCCATCAAAAGTGCTGAGCTAAGCACGTTATTCGGAAAATAAGCTAACGTTACCATCGATTTACGATACGAGCAAACAAGTAAAAAAGAAACGACGCTGTGCCACTTTGAAATTACATACATATGGAATTTATACATATTAATATTTATTAATTATATTTAACAACTCGAGAAATATTTGAAATCTTCATAAATAAGCATATAAAAAATAATTTTTTCTTTTATATGATGAAGAATTATCTTGAACATTTAATATTAGTTATAGTTAAATTTTAGAAAATATAAAATATATACGATAAATCTCTCTTTATAAAAAGAGAAATGCATAAAAAATACCCTTTTATTTTTTTGCAAAAAAATACTTGTATATAAGAAACTCTACGCTAACATTATTTACCGATATTGTACTTTTATTTCATCTTGTTCCATTTTACAATCACCGAAACAAACATTCTCAGACGCGGTACGAGACAGATATCCAGTGGTTTGCAATCGATTTTTTCTCCCGAGCGCGTAATAGGACACCACCGAGTTAAGTCACTCGGTCGGTGCGTTTGGAAATCAGCGCGACGTCCGCTACGCGTAACCCGAAATGGCCTGGCCAGGCAGCAAGGAATCTTGCCACCCTCTCCTCCTCTTCACGCGTAAAAATAAACCCGTTGGTTACGATACGCGCGTTTTTGGATTCGTGGAACGCGCGTCCCGTCAAATCGAATTTCGTGCAATAGCCCACCTCGAGAGATTCCGCTTTACAACGAATTTTTATCGTCGCACCCTCCTTGCCATCCATGGAATCTCGGAATCTTCACGCCTAAAATATTCTACTTGACGAAGAAATAAAGACTGGAATCAACGAGCGCACAAATAGAACCGATCATCTCGCGAGAACTTTGTTTCGCCGGAATTACGTATAAACGTTTATAATACGATTACACGTGCATTTAACTCCGCGTTCAACTTCGCAGAATCTTTCGACTAATGTTTTTGTTTCTACGAACATCACATAAACTTCATTTCCCTTTCGTTCTCTGCTTACCAGGCATCTCTGATTACCAGCGAGCACGGAATCTCGCGTATTCGCTCGGTAGAAACAGAGATGCGGTTCCATCGTACATGCAATTGCAATGGCGCAGGCACGAGATTCTTTAAGATTATTCTTTAAACAAATAATGCATTGATGCAAACGACAAATTTCGTTCCATTTCAAATTTGCATCGTTCTCTCAGCAATTTATATATTTTATTATTCTGGGCAGAGAACGCAAAAGTTACTAACTCGAATCATGAAACAGGATGCACTTTACGAAAAATATATCTGACGTGAAACGTTACTGCTCCTTTTAACGAAAAAAAGAAAAGAACAAGTGAAAAAAAATAGAAGTCGAGTATATCGTACCAATAAAATAATATGATATGATACTAATAACAATAATAATAATAATAATAATAGTAACGATTTCCACGAGAAAAGATAAATAAAATCAAATTATCGCAGCGCGTCTTTAGTAGTTAGTGTTATCGATATCAGTCGACTGACTTCAAGTAACAATCAAATATATAAAGTTTTCAATATATATATCGTGATATCGATAAAACCAAATCGCTTACTGTCTTTATACACAGCAGAGACGCGTCGCGATAGTTTCGTCATTGAAATTCAAACCACGTTTATTGCGTGATACCGTTCCATAAAACGGAATTCTTGAAAGTTATTCGCGACTCGTAAGACAATTTCGTGGAGAGAGGTAAACCTGGATGAACCGTCCCTGACGCGTCTTCTCTGATCGCACCGCAGGCGCAGAAATGTTCCGCCATTTAAGAACGATTTGTAGAAACGACTGCAGGGATGCAGTCGCGACGGATTTTCGTTCTCCCCGCTCGCTCGTGTGCACGGGGATTGCATACCTGAGCAGCATGACGTCACGAGACGAAAAGAGGCAGCGGAGCGCGAACGTTTGATATCGCCTTCCTCCGCGGCCCGGGCCCTCCTCAGCGAGGAGCCGGCTCTATAAATAGGATATCCGGTGGCTCGCTAATTATACACCTATGCACGCCCGTTCGCCGAACGGCGAATCCGCGAGAAAGCGAAGCCCGGAATTTTCTTGCTTTCGAGAGAGCGCCGCGAGAGAATCCTATTTCCGCGCCCGTGACGGGTTTATCCTCCCCTTCTTATCCTTGAAACGTCGTCGTAAGTTGCTGCGGAAGGATAACGGATCGTGTACGATCGCACGAACGATCGTAGCGTGCGCTATTTCACCCTATATATCGTTGCGAGGAGACTATGTAGAGGCCGCATTCCTCCGCGAACAAAGAAAATTACTACGCGCGAGGAAAAAAACGGAGCATGCTTAATTGCTCATCGGAGCGCTTTAGGATTCGGTTAGCGAAGGCGTAAAAGCGAGGCGAGCAAAAAGTCTCGCTAATTGGATGGTTTTATGTCACGGTAAATTAACTATGACAAGAATTTTTCGTGACAATCATTGTCGAGTAGAATTCAGTAAATTAATATACCTGTGTTTTTTAATCGAATACATAATTGTGATAATTCTTGTCAATGCATTTTTCAAGTCAATATATTGCGATTGTAATACTTTACTCAAACGTAACGCAAATCATCATGACGATAACATTAAAATGACGTCAAAATAGCTCCAAAATGATTACTATAAAAATTACTTTTTAATTAAATTTTATTTTTATACTATCGTGATTTATTGTTCTGTTTAAATAGTTTTACGATTTTATACGCAATTAATTATGATTCACAAGAAAGTACATATCGATATTTTTATTTAGACTTGCGTTTTACATGGGAAAGTTTTATTTTATTTTATCTTGTTATACAAGAGAAGAATAAGAAAAAAGGACACTCCATAATCAGTTCGTGAATTTTGTATATCTGTCTATAATCGCATTCTTGTTCGATGCCACAGATTTTCTTCTGTTGGACGAGTGAGGAGACACAAACACCACCATGGACGCGATCAAGAAGAAGATGCAGGGAATGAAGCTGGAGAAGGACAACGCGATGGATCGCGCGTTGCTCTGCGAACAGCAAGCTCGTGATGCCAATGCGCGAGCTGAAAAGGTATAAAAAAACTATTATTCTCTCTTCACGACACTTTGAAATTAATCATAATTGTTCATACACATACAAAAATATATACGTTAGAATTTGATAATTATGATAAACTTAAAGATGATTGAATTGATTGACAATTTATTTATGTTTTTGAAATAGCGATAAAAATACAATCTTATGCTGACGCCTGGCGTTCACTTTTAGCGTCAAAATGCTACGTAGTCAAAATATCAAGTGTCAAAATTGATCATGTAAACTGTTTTGATGCTAAAAATGCCAAGTGTCAGCACAGAAAGGTACTTTAAAAATATACATTAAGCTAAATTACTATAATCCATTTTTTAAATAATAATAATATGAAGAAATAATGAGATATATTGATACACAGGCTGAGGAAGAGGCTCGTGCCCTGCAAAAAAAGATCCAGACCATCGAGAATGAGCTTGATCAAACTCAGGAAGCTCTTATGCAGGTCAACGCGAAATTAGAGGAGAAAGACAAGGCTCTGCAAAACGTAAGTCGAGCAAATATTTTTATTATTCTATAAACGAAGAATTATTTGGCGTTATTGCTCGATCGAACCAGAAATAAATTTTAGCAGTTGTTTTGATTTATCATAATTAATTAAGATCAAACATAATTAGCATTGTTACACCTGTGGAGAGACACTTTAATTTTTCTGCCTTGTATACTTTCTGACATATTCAAAAAATTTCTATATATGAAACTTTAGTTACTTCCAATAACAGCCCAGATAGCAAGATACTATATAATAGTTTGCTGACAGATTGACAGTAAATCAGATTCATAGCTATTTGTATCAGTATTAAACTCAGGATCTGTCGATAGAATCTGCTGATATGCTGATGCCAACAGAGTAATATCAGAAATCGAGCAGGATCTGCACGTGCGGCAATCTGACAGCAGACTGGCAGCAAAAACTGACATAAGAACAGCAAATTTTGTTTGGTTTCTATTGCCAATCTGCTGACAAAGTATATCAACAGGCGTTTTATTCTATTTCTAGCGGCAAGTTGTCGATATCGTTATAGATATTCTAAATCCGAATTCTGCATAGACTGCTTACTCAGCGAAATATGAAATTTCAAAACGAAAAGTATTTAAAGAGTTCCAAATCCTAATTGGAATTATGATATATTTAATTTTCGCATTTCGCATTTATTCATGCTAACAAAAACAAAAGATATAATGTAATTTTCATTGATATCCAAGTAAAACAAAAAGAAAGGATTCTGAAATTTTGCGTAACAAAAAAATTCCATTTGTATCACTTATTTTATTCAAGTTAGAACATTAGATTTGAAAAAAAAGCTGTAAATTTGGTTTTTATGAAACAAAACGTTAGCAAAACTAGACATAATCCAGGACCTCTTGACACGCAAAAAAATGCCGCTTCAACAATAGTTACCGGCAGTGCAAAATGCGAGAGCGCGCCGACTGATGGCGCCACTAGTTGGCGCAGGCGCATCTCGCACGTCAACAAGCGGCGCGTCCACTCATCCTCCGCCACTCCGCGCGCGAAGCGAACAGTTGATCTGTGATTCGCGCAGTTTCCGCGTTGTACGCTCGTGCGGCTTCGGCGGCTTCGGCTCTCCCCACTCCATCCCACTAGCGCCGAGCGCGTCGCTTAACCGCGTGGAGGGGACGTTGCTCTCGGCTCGCCGTGCGCGCGAGCGAGACAGACACAGCGTGGCCGCCAGTGCCAGTGCACGGCGTAGAACAGCGCGATCCCATTCTTTGTGTACGCGCCGCCGTATTGCGTGTGCGTGACGCGTGACGTGACGGTGCAACACAACCGGTGGACAGTACGTCGTCGGCGCGGGGGAGAAACGTGCGTCTCGATCAGTGACAGACAAGATGGCGGAGTGTCTGGGTCTGGTGCGGTGGTAGTAGAGCGGTGCATATCGCACGGGCCGCGTCAACGTGTTGGACAACGCGGGGGGAGTTTCGGTTGTTGGCCAGAGCCTTGACAACAGCTGGACGCGACATGGAGCGGACGGTCTCGGCGGCGACCAGACGCCGCGGTCACCAGCATCATCCGCGGCATACCACGCGACGACGTCTCGACGCCTCCAGCAGAGGACCCGCGCAGTGTGGCCCTGCTGATGCCGCCAGGAACACCACGTTTACCGGCGACGAGACGTCGCCCGCCAACGTGACCGTCGACGACCGACTTGGCGCGACGGATCCGTCCGTGCCGCAAGTGACACTCGGCACGAGATGGCCCACGAGGATCAACGAGATCGAGACGAAGGACTCGAGAACCCAGGTGCTCGAAGAGGAGAAGGAGAAGGAGAAGGAGAAGGATGATAAAGGAGACCGTAGGGACGACGACGTTCGACAAAGGCTCGCGCAGTGTAGCCCGGACGTTCCCGTGCTCGGCGAGAGTAAGAACGCCGAGCACGACGAGATCCAGGATCGGCCGGGTAGAAAGAGAAGAACCCACCGATTCAGTCCTCGTAGGAAGAACTCTGCCGAGGATCGCAACGAACGCGATCCGCGAAGCAAGAGCAACTCGCCCGAGCCCGAGCACGCGGTCGCGAGGGCACGCGGCGACGGGAACTCCGATGACGAGTCTGCCAACGTCGAGGAGGACCCTGAACTCGCGGAGCTAGCTAAGCTACGTTGTCCCAGCGAACGTACCGAGGTCCAGGCCGAGAGAGAGGCCCGCAGGCGGAAGAGATGCGCCGATTATCCCGGGCTCGCCTTCGGCTGCTCCATATTCTCCAGCGACACGATGATGAAGTTCAGTCTGATAAAGAACGAACTCCAGAATATCATGGGCAATCAGCTGAAGCGGGTCAGTATCGCCGTATGACAACGGCGTACCGCCGAAATAGCGGCCGTGATAGGTAAACGCGACGGGTTTCAAGGTCGTCGACGACCTTGATAACGCCGGTCAAGAGGTCCTCGGGGTCGGCTGGTATTTCGTCGGATTCGCCGAAAATATCAAACTCGTAACTCTTTGAAAACTTTCCTTTTTTTTTTTCATCGATATTTTTATTCGGAAATATGAAGTTGAGTATTTTTTCTAAAATACTCCTTAAGCATTTTTTTTTTATAAAGTCTCGTTACTCATACATGAGTTCAATCAAAAAAACTTGACGCTAATGAAGCGTGAACGAAGGTGGTATATAATCGTAAGATCATTGCCTTAAAAAAAAAAATCAATGATTGTGGCAATGTAATTTGATGTTATCAGGCCATTCATTTCCTTCCAGTTTAAGTCTAGATAACGTCAAAGAGAGAGAGAGAGAGAGAGAGAGTATTATCAGTTATTATTGTTGCTGCGTAAAATTAATGATGCAATGAGAAATAATTCGGTTCTGACAGCTAGAATATTATAAGAATTTAATATGAATTCGCGTTATCCAAAATTATTTAGAATTTGATTCTAAAATCGATCGGTTGAAAAATACTAATATTTTTATAATTCATTTTCTCTTATCTACGACGTACATACGTTTCTAGTTGCAATAATAAAAATGCATATAGCACAAATTACGTAAGTGACAACATCAAGATCGCATACAACTCTGAAGATGCGAGCGATACCTCGAATTTCGTGTTCGGAGAAAATAACTTCTAATGATAATAATCAACGCCACTTGTAACTTTTTTTCAGACGATCAATTGATACCATGATGATTAAATGAAGCAAGAAAACGAACCGACTTCGTGCTCGTCGCGTTACTGAGCGCAGTAGGCGTTTATTTGCAATTAAAATCACGTCGGAATTGTCGCAGTAATTTTCGCCAAGATATGAATTCGAGATGGAATTTTTGAGATTATAAATACGCGCTCTGATTAAATGATTATAGAGAATAGTTTAGCTTACATAAATTTTCAGGAATATCACGTTAAATTGATGTTCAGTTATCTTTACAGGTGTATAGGTATCCGTTATTATTTTCACGTAATATAACTGTTTTCTTTCACAGTTACAACATCCAATTAAACTTCTGCAGGAAATGTTATGAAAAATTTAAAAGTTTGAGATATTTTTATCTTCTGTTCAATATTAATAAATATGATAATCACTAATTATCGCGATCTGTAATTATCAAATTGACATTGTTTGCATCGATTGCGACTACAATCAAATGGTAATTGAAAGCTCGTAGCAGCAAAGTGGTGCAAATTGAGTTTTTACAGTAAAATAAATTAAATATTTTATTGAATGTGATAATATAATAGCTTAAATTGTTCTCAACGCTACATTTCAAAACGTTCTCTCCGAGGAAGATTTTACTCTATATGCTATAGTATATGTTACGTGTACTATATATTTCGAGTAAAATTTTCCACGGAGAGGACGTTTCGGAATGTACTCCAAGAGATAAGCAATTCTGACTGTTATTTCCCAATCTTTCAATTAATACGGGAGCATAGATCGTTTCAGTATCTGATGAGATAATTTCTACATCTCAATATCTATTGTAAATATTTATTGAAATCTATTGGGAAATTTTTGGATTATAGATTACCGTTATTTATTGTATCAAGTGTTTCTTATAAAACGCGGAGGTATATCGAATAATATACGTAGGTATGAATTTTTGGATACTGACAGTGCTATAAAAAAAACCCTGTTGCAAGCATCGTCCCTGAAACGACAGTCGAGAAAGTTGTTGCTAACGACGCATAAGCGCGAGATCCTCTTGGCGACAAATGGCATTTATTATTAGGGTTACTGAACGAGGACAATAGGTTACGCGTACACGATTCTCTTGCCCAATACACTGATAGAAAGCCATTACCCACTAGACAATGCATCGTGTTGTTATCTATTTTAATTGACATTTCGAAAATGTCAAATTGTGCGTGTTCCAATATTTTTCTAATTTTTTTTTTTCAGAATCGAAATAAGCATTCATATTTCATATCTAATATCTATAATATTCATTAATATCTTACGAATAATTACATCGTTCGAGTTTAATTTGCTTTTTAATGCCAAATAATGTGTCACATATTGTGTGTTTTAATTCATAAATGTTAGCCCGTTTTCTCGAAATTACTGTTTGAAATAGAAACTGAAACATTTTATGTGCATATGATGCTTTGTACTACATTTGTCATTCGCGCGATTATACTTTATTTAATTCCTCTACCATGCACCATAAATTTTAATTCGAACATGCGTCAATTCGTTCAATGTAATTTCTCATTAGTGGTTTTATTTTTGAAATGAAAACGGATATTATCCTGTCTCGTACTTTATCTGTGATATCAATTAATGTACTCCGAATACAATTAATTAATCGCAAACGGCCATATGTATGTGTTTTTGAAAACGTATTTTCCAAGTCTTATTCGATACCGTCATATTTTGTTCCAGGATCCGTTATGTTTTATTAATCCCTAATTATTAAATTTTTTTAATAAGCAGATCATCTACCTATACACACCTAAGAATAACTTAGTTAATTTAATAATAACTAAAATTGAAAATAAACCAAAGGAAAAAAAAGTATCTCGTTTGCCTCAATCTCCGCATTACATCGGAACACGCCAACCGCGTATAATGGGATATACCGCATTACGGTACATCGAATCGTAAGGTATTGAAGTATACTACGTGATACTTTGATGATATCCGGGATCGAGACACTCTCCCTACTTACAATACATGAAAACCAGTTTCAAGAATAAGATCTGGAGACACTGGTAGTGTCTCGGCGCTAAGCTACGCGCAGACAACTGCATAGGTTTTAAAGGTGTCCATTCAGGGCCAATTTTGGCCATTTTTACACTCCCTCCTTTAAATCAATTTTTTAATTGTATAATTCATCCGTTTTAGTATAAAATAGCGACAATATTGAGGAACAGCTTTTAAATCAGGTTAAATTTGACACTACAAATTTAACAATAGACCTGTTCTTTTTTATTGAACTTTTGCACCAATTCATCTTTCTTCTTTTTCTTTTCTCCTGAAGATAAAAGGAAGAAAGATGAACTGGTGCTAAAGTTCAACTAAAAAAAAACAGGCCTAATGCAACTCACCAACTAAGCAACATTAAAAATGCAATCTAATCGTGGTTTTCGTATCTAACACGGAAGTACTTAAATTTTATATTGTAATAATGTTCAATCTATATACATAAATAATATATGCATAATAAAACATTTTTATCTTACACGAAAAAAATATAAGATATTAAAATAAATAATATAAGAAATTTTACATACACAAAATTATTAAATTGCCGAATATGGCACACTATGTATGTAGTTTTTCATAATTTTAAAATTATATTATTTTTAAATATAATACGTACATTATATTTAAAAATAATATATTACTTTAAATTAGTTTTAAATATAATGTACATATTATATTTAAAAATAATATAATTTTAAAACTATACATACTTTGCCATATTCTACAATTTAATAATTTTGTGTATGTAATTTCTTATATTATTTATTTTAATATCTCATATTTTTTTCATATAAGATAAAAATATTTTGATTATGCATATATTATTTATGTATATATATTGAACATTACTACAATATAAAATGTAAGTACTTCCGTGTTAGATACGAAAACCACGACTAGATTGAATTTTTTGTGCTATATAAGCTCTACACGTCGCCGACAAATCAGAAACGTACGTGCAGGTGAAAATAACTTTTGAACTTTAATAAATATTCAAAAATGCGACTGTTATATCTGTCGGTATTAGTTCTTGCCATAATTTTCGTTATGGCGATCATCCGAAGCGGAAGCAAAAGCTCTTTCTGAAGCCGATGCACAAGTCTACAAATCGGTAAATACAGTAAACAATTTTTATAGTTAAACCTCTATAGTGCTGTAGTTAAAATACGTTTTCCGATTTAGCAAAATATGGAAAATAATTGTAACGGGGCAAGATAAAGCATCTTTTTTATTTACGTCATACGGTATTTGCATAATTCTTCATTCAGATTTAGTCTTTGAATTTAAAAATCTCACTGTAGCGTTCAATAATGTTCGAGTTTCATCAAACTTTCTTCTTCATTGCGACAATTGAATTTATTCTGTGTCATCAACTGTCTTTATCCTCGCCGGTAATAGTCAATTGAATCTCTCTCGACGATGGTCGACGTTGTTCGTTGTTATCGTCATAGAACAATGGAAACCCCTGACTTCGGGATGTTCTTCTCGATGACGCTTGCTTCTGTCACTCCTTTTTCGGGGCCCCGCCCTTTTGCATACGCGTCTGGCAAGTCTGCAATAAGTCTCAAGCTTATACCCCACGATCTAACTCGTCAACATTCTAAAAATACATGACGACCGTGATCCAGCGAGACTTTTATTCGGGAGTGCGGGAATAGATTGCGTAAGCTCCCGTTCCCGGAGCCTCTGCACGAATAAATCCGGTGCGCATTTAAAGAAAACGCATCCCAAAACGTCGTGCAAACGTCCATGTCATCTCAAAGATTCTAGACATATACACACAGAAAAATATGATTCTATTGTTAAGAAAAGTGATTATTCAACTTTTTTTTTTTAGGTAACGATTATTTTTAATAAAGAATATTTTTTTGATATAATAATCTTAAAATGTACACTCTCTCTCTCTCTCTCTCTCTCTCTCTCTTATTATAAAAAGTTTTTAATAAACTTTTTAGAAAAACTCATTGATATATACGCAAAACAAGAATTTATTTTCTTTTGACAAGTATTATAAATTTAATTGAAGAAGCGACTTTATGTGTAATAAGCAAATCAAATTTGTTTTAATTTAATAATCTTGATTGAGGTATTAAATTTATTAGGATTCAGAATATTTTGAATAAATTTGAAGCTTGTGATGAATTTATTTTGGATTGAAGTAGAAATTTGTGGATTACATCTAATCTTAATTT